CTCCACGAATACGCCTCCGCCCTCCGTTCCGCAGCCGAATTCGAGAGGCAGTGCACTCCGGAAGATTTTGACGTGGAGAAGTTTTTCCACCTCGTCCGTCAACTTCCCCCGCTCCTCCCGCCCATCCACCTCCCGGCACCTTTTTCATCCCAAGGAAATTTAAACCCGACCAACAATTCTGGGACCAAATATCCAAGCATGCCATAACCGATACTGTCCCAATGTACATTTCCCGCGATCCTCTCCCTTACCTCGTCCCGATTAAAGCATTCCGCAGCGCGCACCCCAATCCTCCTCCACACCTGCAACCCGATCCGATAGACCCGTTCGCTATCACCAATTTCTTATCCCAACTTGAGAAATTGGGAATATAAGAGATTTTCCTTCCCCGCGGTCGTTTTTTTTTATTTGTATGTACAAGATTTCTTTTGTTAATACTTTAACCTTTTGTCAATACTTTAACCTTTTATGTATACGAACAGAAGATTGTAGTTCACGTTTATTATTTCTTATTAAAATTAATTGATCAAAATTCGGTAGTAAACAGTTTTTTTTCTCCTAAACCTGACCCCGCGCCGTTCCCGGCTCCCTGAAGATCGCACTAGGTCCATCCCTGGTCAAAGAGATTCGGTTCTCTGACCTAAAACGGACCACCGAATAGCGCGGGCGCAGGTAAGGGTAATAGCGCCGCTGACGCTGACCCGATCCCTGCCCCCTCTTAACGCGCGTTCGACTCGCGGATCGGCATCACGACGTCGTTCCGCGAGAAAAGGAGAGGTTCCGTGCGTCCACCCGAGTTCTCCTCCTCCTGACGAGAACACGGACGTAACAGAGACATTCGCGGATAAAATTTTTACTCGATATGGTAAGTCTTCGAATTGCCAAACGAACAACACAGTCTTCGCCGCGACGAAACCGATATGATAATGCGTCATCGTACGAGCATCACACGTAATATCCGACGCTAAATATCTCGTGCTGCTGGTATGACGAGTCTCTGGTTCGCTGTAATACGCATTCCAAATCCGCGTACACGAAAAGGACGTTGTTCCTTATTCATGCGGTTCTTAAATATGAGCCACTTGTCGTCTTCGCTCGGCAATCGGATGGCGCAATCGTTCATCTGCTCGCAATCCATTGTATGCAACTGCAATTTTTCAGATGAACTGAAATAATGTAGTTGCAAAAAAGGAAAACATGATCTTTTTTTAGTATTTAATAAATAATTTATAGGAGAAATAATGAAATTTGTTAAAATGTGTATATGTACTTATCATAAAAGTATTTCTTGTGTCCGTATCTGTTCAATTGCAAGCTCACGAGGCGGGACAGATCTTTAATGCACGCAAAGTGCTCTGCGTTGTCATCGTGCGGATATTGAACGTACAGTAAATTTATGCGTTTCTCCATCTTCCTTATCAGCCATATCAGGAGAATCTTCTTTCTCTCAAAGCCGTAAATGTTAATGGAGATGTTAATAGAGAGTTATAAATTTTGACTTTTTTTATTTGATCCAATGTCACTAGAAAGATGTAATATTTTGGAGATTCAAGACCGACGTGTAATGTGGGTATGACGATTCCCGATCTTTATTTCTTTCGGCCGGATGCAGAGCCGCGACTACCGACTACGCATGCATTGTTTCTGGATCGTACGTTGATCGTCGTTTTCTTCAACATAATTTCTTGCGGTAACTCGATGTAACATCCTGCGTGTAGAGGATTATATTTATTCACGTTAATTATTAAATTTAATATACGCGACAATGCCCATCCGCGTTCCTGGAACTCTTCAAGCGACACCAACGTGGGTTCGATGACGTGCTGTTCGTATGATTCGTCTACATTTGACATTCGAAAGAGTTCATAGTTTCTCATATTAACACCTTTATTGACGCATTTATCACCCGTTACAACTCGCCATTGAATGCAGTGTTCACTTTCACACTACCGTGTCTTTCGTCTATAGCATCTCGCACTTGCTCAAGCACTACATCAGCATCTTCCAAAAATCGTCGCGGCTCGATATAGTCCATGTTAATCATCGCATCGATCAATATATGGCTTTCAAACGCCGTATCAATCTTGCGCCAAACGAGATATTCATTGTCTCTATTAATGCTTGCGTACTCGCCACCACGTGCATGAAACATCCTTCTAATTGAATTTTCGCGAGTCGTGCGAACTGCGCCACAAATTGTTTATTTCCAATGGTGAGTCGACAACGCTTAACACGGTTAAATTTCTCGAGCTATTTTGATGCACTCGCCGCATCGTTGCAGCCACGCGAAACACTCCATCTAGCTGCACTTTCAAAGCACCTACTGTGATCTCGTGCGTCCAATGACCTATTATATATCATCATCAATTTCTTTGTCTAAATCGGAGCGTCGTCATACGTTTGCAACCGAATCGCAATTTGTTTATCTATTTGTTTATAGCAGCGGGAGTATCGGCCCTTCTCTTAATACATGACACGTACGACTTCTAGGAAAACATCTTAGCGCGGCTTTTCCTGGAAAAAATTTAAACACGTTGTAACGGTGCACCTTTCCTTACGTCACAAATTAGCTCGTTGGTGCTAGGATTAGGGAGAAGTGGGAGATCCGAGCTTACAAATAACATAACAATTAACAAAACTATAAAGTTTATTGAGTGGCTTATCATATCCAGAGAGTAAGTGTGTGAGTGAGTATGTGTATGTATATATGCGCGCGCGCGCGCGCGCGCGTGTGTGTGTGTGTGTGATTTGGCGCAGTGTAGTATTCTGCTTCGGCGTTATTTACAATGGTAGGCGGAGATACAAAAACTCGCAGAAGCAGAATAGCAGTTGGTAATTATAAAGATAGAGAGAGAGAGAGATACAGAGCTCGCAGAAGCGGAGTAGCGGAATTTACAGCGATAGCGAAAGATACAAAGCTCGCAGAAGCGGAGTAGCGATCGATATCTGGCGGAATCAGGCGGAAGATCGAAAGGTCGTTATACGACGCAAGAGAGAGATTTACAAGCTAGCTATTTACATGATATACAAGCCCCAAGCGAGAGCGGTCGCGCGCGCGCGCATAAGCACGCTACTGACACCGGGAATTCCCGACTTCGGAGAGGTAACACCCTTCTCCGTGGTTTAATCAGGAAGTCAGGAAGGCTAGGAAATCTCGATCGAGGCTCTGGAATACCCTGAGTGGTCTCGCTCGAGACGGGAACTGGTCAGGTGCTGACTCGTCAATTGAGCCGGTTTTTATACTGCTCCGGTTTCCCCTACCTCTACGAAGTGGAAGTAAGTCCCCATAGTGGGGAATTATACAGGTAATAGCGCTCAAGGGGCGCTGGGCGGATGGCCGGCCCTAAATTAATGACGGCACTAGCATGTGCCGTTACAACGATATCGCGCTCCTTTAATGAACATGTTTGATTACAACAATAAAATTCCTAGAAAGAGGGAAAGAGGAGGAAAAGGGAAAGGGAGGATTAACCGTGATAAGTTTGTCAAACTTTTCACGGATGCGATCAGTCTTCCATTGAACGATCCGCACGCAATGTACTTCTCCATCATTCTTTTGTACGAACGCTTCACACGCAATGTATTCTGCCAAAGGAAGCATCTTACCGTACGATGGCGAAACAAAGAAACACGTAAGTTTTAACATTTCATTTCTTTTCTCTTTTTTTTCAATATTATGCAATATTATATATGTAATTTCCATTACACAACATTTCAGTAGAGCGTCGCGCGGTGCGCCTACTGAGCAGACATTACACTCTGACGGCCACGGACTACAAGTTTTTGGAAATTGGAATCAACGTTGGTGCACCGAGCTACGTAGAAATCGCTCTGGGAGATCATCAGGGACAAGAACTGATACTGTCTCTTAAAATGTGGAAGGGACTCTACGAGCAGCGATGGAATATCTATAAATTGCTTCAAAACGATTACAAAAACAATTTTATAAGCATATTCATACCGTTAACCGTCAGAATTTGCTTGATGAACATTACACTGATACACCTTGAACCTTTAAACGTACGCATAACGATGATCGAATCGACATTACGCCATATGTTTGATCTCGACAGATGTAATGTTCAATTGACTAGTTAGATTCGTCGATACGATCAATGCCAAGTATATGCGATTCTCCATCATCGCGTCTGTTGTAACAGAATCTGAGGAGGTACGTGATAGGCAAAAGTGATATTTTCGATAGACGTCAACTCGTTGATTGCGAGCTGTTAACTTTTAGTGTATAAGAAGAAAAAGTGTGAATAAAGAAATTTCACGCTTAAATCATAATGTATTCAAAATTGTTTAAAAATAAACATATGTGATATACAAAATATGTTTTTTATTCCTTTCCCCCACCATAAGAATAATTATTCGGGAAATGATCATAAGATTAAGATTCGTAATAAGAGAGAGAGCCACAAAAAGCCACGAAAGAGAGATAGAAGATAGTAGGTATACAACAGAGGATGCGTTCGGGGAGCTCGGTACCGTGCTACCACCGCAAACGTTACCAAAGATTGTGGGGCCAATAGCGTGATAGTGATGGCGAGCTCCGTGAACAGCAGTAGCGCTACGCTACAGTTGCTTAGCAACCGATATATTGTGGCTGCGTTCGGGGAGCGTGCTATTAGAACTATCGCATCATTCTTAATTTATAAATAAATGAGCGATAAAGATGAAATAATGTAATAGTATTAATAGCGCGATCTATATAGGGCCTATATATGAGGTTTTATATATATAAAGGTAAAAATAACACCAAGTTCGCGCCCGTTTTTTTTATTTATGTAAAAGAAAGAATTTTATACAAAAATTTCCATCTACAAAAGCCTTTTTATAATAATAATAAATTTCATATTGGTACAAAAGATGTGATATGAAGAACTGGCGCCAACTTCTAGTTTAATAAAATAAAAAGAGTATTTACATTGAAATACATTTTATTTTGTAGTTCATTTTTATTTGAAAAATTGTTTTATTATTTCTACAAAAAACATGATATCAGAAATTGGCACAAACTTTTAATTATATGAAATAGAAAAGAAACTTTGCAAAGGTGAAAAAAGATGTTATCAATCCAAAATTAATGTTAATTTGTAGTTGCCAAAAAAATTTTATTGAATTATTGTACTTGTGTTTATATAAAAATAAAATATAAAAGAAAATCTGATATGTAAAAAAAAACAACATATAAAAACTTGGCGCTCTCAGGTCGCATTAAAACTACTTTTAATAATAATGAATTATGTGATAGACAAATAGAAAACAGTTTGAATTAAAATTTAATATATCTTAAGATTTTTTATTTTTAAACTTATTTTTTTTTAATATTAAATAAATACTAAATAAAATTAATGAAATATATAATTAATTATTAATTAATAAAACATTTTTTACATAAATAATGCAAGAAACTTAAGAGTTTATTTTATTAGAATGTTATCCAATATAAATGCATGTGTTTTAATATTTATTAATAAATTTTTTTAATATTATATATTTACATATAATGTTAAAGAAAATTATATAAAAATTATATAAAAAATTTATTTACAAATATTTTTAAAAGTAATATATACATTATTAATGTAAAAAGATAAACAGTAAAATGTAATATAACATATACAGTAAGTGTATACGTACGTGTTTTAATGCGACTCGGGCGCGCCAAGTTTTTGTATGTTGTTTTTTTTTACATATCAGATTTTTTTTTTATATTTTATTTTTATATAAACACAAGTACAATAATTCAATAAAGTTTTTTTGGCAACTATAAATTGACATTAATTTTGCATTGATAACATCTTTTTTCATCTTTGCAAAGTTTCTTTTCTACTTCATAATTAAAAGTTTGTGCCAATTTCTGATATCATTTTTTTGTAGAAATAATGAAACGATTTTTCAAATAAAAATGAACTACAAAATAAAATGTATTTCAATGTAAAGCTCTTTCTATTTTATTAAATTAGAAGTTGACGCCAGTTCTTCATATCACATCTTTTGTACTAATGTGAAATTTATTATTAAAAAGACTTTTGTAGATGAAAATTTTTGTATAAAATTCTTTCTTTTACATAAATAAGAAAACGGGCGCGTGAACTTGGCGTTATTTTTTACTTTTTTTAAAAGGTAATTTTATTAGAATATCACTCATTTTTTTAGCAAATAGTATTTATTATTTAGCATATTTAAAACATTTTTTTACTTTATATATACTAGAAAAAACAATCAGTATTCAGTCATTATTTTTTAATAATCTTTTTTAAAAAAAATATACACATTTTTTGTTTCTCTTTCTTAGCCATTTTTTCTTGTTAATTTACGCATCAATGTCTATCCATCCATTAGACGTTTCATGTCTACATATACTTGTATAATGACCAATAGATGATCCATGATGAAAAATGGCATTCATTACTTTATAAAATTATCCTCCTATTGATATTGTAGTTGTTAGTACTGCACGCAAATTAAATTGATCTATTTTTATTAATTTACTATTTTGTTTTGAAAATAATTGTAAATAAATGATAAGTATTTCTCATGTTAATGTTAATTCTTTTTTAAATATTGTATCTTTCCCTGTATAATTTTTACCTAGATCATGAGAGTGATACCACCTCGAAAAGGTAATATTTAATAAATCATTAAGATCGTAACTGTCTTTCTTTAAATTAGTAATGGGAATTGAAATAAAAATATTATCATTAGTAATAACAATTGTATTATCACAAGTTTTGTATCATATAGTGGAACGTATTTGATGTTTAACTAAATTTTTTATATAATCATATTTTTCACAGATAGCTATGAGAAATTCAGATGCATCTTGTTTTATACAGCTAGAAAAATTACTTCCTAAATCTTGTCGTACTGTAAATGTGTTATTCAAATCAGATATTCCGTTTTATCGATTCATTAATATACCTAAAACATTTAATTTATCACACTCAAAAATTTGTTTTCTTATAACATTTAAATGCAAAAGACATTACAAAACTGCATTTGTGTAAGATGAAACTTTATCCTTATTTTGGAACCCATGTATTATCCAAACAGTATTTTTTTGAACTGTTTCATGTGATTCTTGAATAGAAGAAATAATTTTTGGTAATGTCCATAAAGTATCTTTTATTTTAATATATTTTTGTTTTAAAATAGTAATCAATTTCGCTTCTGACATGTTATGTTATATGTTATATGTTATGTTATATGTTATATTATATGTTATTTATATTTTTTTATGTTATATGTTATTAATTTATGTTTTATGTTATATGTTTTTTATGTTATTTATGTTTAATTAATTTATGTTTAATGTAATAATTTGTTAATAATTTGTAAAAATCTAATACATTTGTTATCAATAATCTAATAATATAATAAAAATCTAATAATTTAATTTGTTGCAAAAATCTAATGTAATTTGTTGTAAAAATATAATTCTATTTCTATTTCTATTTCTTCTTATTCTATTTCTTCAATGTATTATATATTATTACAATATTACTTACTATTATATGTGACACACGTTATGTCTTCTTTTTTATTAATCAATATGTACAACATATGTACAACTTCACACGAAGGACATCTGTCAAAGACATATCAAATAAAAAAAATGAGCGCTGCAAGAGCTGTCATACAGAGGCGTTTATTAATGCCTCTTGCGATAAAAAAGGAGAGTCACGACGACGACCAGGATGTTAAATTTATCAATTTGAACTTTGCATCACGATATCTCAGTTTGTAGAACACGGAGAAAAAAATAAAAATACTTTTCTTATATAATTTGATACTCAGCTATCGATTAAGCGTAATTAAAACTTAATCAATGCAGTCATTGCTGAGATATGAAAATGTAAACCGAGTTCATCCCGGGGTCTCGCGTAAATAGAGCCATGGGCGTCTCGCCGCTGTTCTACGCGAACTTCGCTGCG